CACAATCATCAAATCAATGGAATATTAGAGTACATTATTTTCCTGGCCTGCTTTCAATATTTTTTCCTTTATTTCTATTCCATGCATTAGTATTTTTTATAGCGTTTTTAAAAGCTAGCCTCATAGTTATTTGTTAATTTTTTTTTTAAATCACAGAATTTAGAGACAGGAGGAACTCATAAAGCAGTTAGTGCCTCCAGTTTTATTGATGAGGTCGTTTTAAGCACACTCATACTAAGATGCCACATCCTTTTCATCACCCTTATGAAATTTTATTTAGATTAGGGATTTGTTTGTATAAAGCTAATGAGTTTGGAGGAAGATTTGTCTATCTAGTCTCATAAAGCCCTGAAATTAAAGGCATCGCTGTTTCTACACTGAAGGACTTCTTTTCTGTGTAGGACATCTGATTCTATGTACATGACAAGCTCAATTTATCCCCCATTTGCAACACCCTTTATTTTATCACAATTTTACCATCAATCTAAAAGTTACAAATTAAAACAACTTTTTCCACTACAAAAAAAAAAGTTCCTGGGGAAAGAGTTCTATAAAGGAAGAAGAGAAGGTGAAAGGAGTCCACTTAGGAAGTACATTTTCTTTCCTTCCATTCCCTACCTCCTGCCCTAAGAAACACCCAAATAAAGTACAGTCGGCCTTCCATATCTGTGGGTTCACGCCCATGCATTCAACCAACCACAGATCAAAAATATGAAGGGAAAAAAAAAGAAATTACGTCTGTTCTAAACATGCACAGATGTTTTTTTCTTGTCATTATTCCCTAAGCAATACAGTATAACAACTATTTACACAGCATTTACATTTTATTAGGTATTCTGAGTAATCTAGAGATGATTTAAAGCACATGGGAAGGTGCAATAGGTTATATGCAAATATTACACCATTTCATATCAGGGACTTGAGCATCCCTGGATTTTGGTATCCCAAGGGTCCTGGAACCAATCGCCCATGGATACCAAAGGAAGACTGTACTTTCTCACTGTAGCAAGGTAAAAATTAGACTGAACCAGAACGAAGACTTTAGCATTTCCGTGCAATAGCTTAATGTGGTTTTTGATAATGGAATAAGCAAAAAATTCCAGCTATTGATCCCCATAATCTGGTTTCCACAAACTAAAAAGGGATATATTTCCATTAGGCCAGGATATGAGGTGGTGTTTCCAGAAACATGTTATTGTCTGTCCTCACCAGTTTCATGTGTGGGGATGACCCCACAGAAATCAGATAGGGGTGGAAGAATGCCCGATTGCCCTCCAGGTTAGCTCTCTATTTCTTCTAATCAACAACAACAATAATATCAGCAACCACTTTTCAAGCCCTTACTATGTGCCAGATACCACACTAGATAATTTCCATACATCATTTCACTGTTCTCGCCAACCTGACAAGTAGGCATTATTGTTTCCATTTTATAGAAAGGCTCAGAAACATAAATTAACCACCCAACTTCACACAGCTAGGAAGTAGTAGATTCCAGATTCTATATCACTGGGTCTGACTCCAGCTGATAAGATAAAACAATTCAGGGCATAGGCACCTCTGCCTTGTCAGGGGCTCTTAAAAAGCCACAAACAGATTAGATTCACCTCAGATTCACCCTAGATCTGAGGAGCCTGCTGCTTGCCCTGTGCTGCCTGTCTGGCTTGAGAAGCCAGCAGCAGCAGGCTCTGGTCCCCTCCCCCACAGCAGGAACCAAATCCTCACACGGTTAAACTTAGACTGCTGAGAAGATAAAGTTGTTGTACAAGAGACATATTTTTCTGAAAGCTTAGAAAAATTAACTACAGACTTCCAGGGTCGAGAAGAACTGATTTTAATGAATAGAGTTCACAATTTCCATACCAGGACTGGCCGGGACACTGTGTCCAGTTCCCAGGCCCCCGCACCCCAGTGTTGTCCCATCCCCTTTGGTCAGCAACCACACCTCAGCTGGAGTGCCATTCAGTGACCCCTAGGACCCAGCATGGGGAGGGTGACAGAAACCAATCCAGAGTAACACAAAGGGAGCCTTCACTCTCTCTCGGTCCCCCCACCCGCTGCCAACCGGGGAAGACAAGGCACTTGGGGCTCCATGGTGAGAAGACCCAGAAGAGATCAGCAGGTGCACACTTGATACAATGAGCTTTACATTTCCAGAGCTAGCTCGTTCCAGTCAAAACAACATCCAACCCAAAGGCAAGTGGTGACCCGCTGAGAAATAAATCCAGACAGGAGCAATCAAAGAG